AAAAAAATGAGAAAAAAGATAGGAGGGGTTCTAAGCATTAGAAGGTGCCACCTCATTACCTTTGGTTTCTTCTTTAATATATATATAGATAAAGTTGTAAAAAATATTAAAAACATTTGTTTTGTAATAACCAATTAATAAAAATGTAATTAAATTATTTTTATAACTTTAATTAAATAGTAACACTGATTTTTTTTAATGTAAATCCAAAATTAATTAAATTTTTATAACTTTAATCACTTTTTAAAATATATTATATTTTAATGTTTATGTAATTTTACTCTATTTACAAAATAAACGAGCAAAAGGAACATGTTGAAATCAAAGATATGATCAACGACACTGCATCCATCTATTCTACTGTAGGTAGTCCGTATATGTTTGATTAATTACACAGTTTTTAGAGACGTTATCTGGATAATTACATGATCGTGCAAGTCATCCAGTATAATAGTTCATATATTATTACTAGTAGTTATGTCATTTCTACCAAGTTACCATTAAAATCAACTAAACTAGAATTTGATGTAATGATATAGGCAAAGTAGATCAAAATAAAACCTATGGTGTATTTTCTATCTTTCATTCAATTAAGAGAACATACTTTGTATTTGATTTGATTACGGAAACATGCTACCTCATGCAGGCATGGCAATGGGGTGGGGATGGGGCGGGTTTTGTAATCCCCAGCCCCGGTTGTTAGTAACAGCCCCAGGCTCCGGTCCTGGTCCTCGGGGGTACGGGGATTAACATCCCATCCTCGGTCAAACCACATGAAGAATATCCGTTAGAAGTAAATGAGAACTAATAACCTAGAACCTGCCATTGGGAGGGGAACAACTGGAAATGGTTGTTATTTGCTAATACTCGTAGGCTAAGGACTGAGTAAAATGAGGAATCCGTCGGAGAAGGGGCTTATGCTTGATTAGCTAGTTGGTGAGGTAATAGCTGGATTTGAGCCAACATAGACGTATTGTCAAAAAGTTTATAGTTTTATTCCCATTAACCACTCATGGCATCGACCTAATGCCTGATTGATTTTAGACATTCGACAATCAAGTTATTTTCAAGATTCAATATTTTTTACGAATACATATATAGGGTTGAGTTCTGGTGACTCAGTGAGAATGGATGTTATGGTGAAAGGGTAAGAAAAGATCTTCATCCTCGGATCAATCCTAATTGACGATCAACCCTAATGAGATGCACCAAATCAATTCCCGTGTGGTTCAATTTATCTGGTGGAGGTGAGATTAAAAGTAATCAAGAGTCTACATTCCTTCTTATACTTCTCAACTTAACTCCTATTCTCACACGATCATTTGTGTGTGTGTATATATATTAAAAAATAATCAAAGGTCCAAATCCCTTCTTATACTTCTCAACTTAACTCTTATTCTCACACGATCCTTCATGTGTGTGTGCATGTATATATGTTTTTATTTTTAATTGTGAAAACATATACATCAAGTGGTCCTAGAGTTAGATTCAGTGAGAATGGGAGTTAATGTGAGAAGCGTAAGAATAAATATCTACCCTTGGATGCATATTAGAATGAGATACACCGAGATGCACCAGATCAATCTCCCGCATCAAGCGGGATTCATGGGCGGGTTTGAGATTAAAGGTGATCAAGAGACTATATCTTTTCTTATGTTTCTCACTTTAACTCTCATTATCACATAATCCTTCAACTCATAATTGTTTTTACAACCTTTAATGATATGAAAATGTAGAAATATATCCAACATCATCTTTTACTAGCTTTCAAATTCTTAAAATTATACATGTAAAAGCAAAAAACAAAAATACCATAACCCATTACATCACTCTTCAAAAAAACTTTTTGACAAAAGAAAAAAAGGTTCAAATACACACACATATATATATATATATATATATATATATATGGAGAGAGAGAGGAGGTTCAAAAGAGAACAATACCGTTTTACGAGAATACTAGAACACTTGAAATAGGTAACCATCACATGTGACATTGTATGCGAACGAAATAGTGTGCAGGTGACTCGACCCAAGAGGCAAGAGCCGTGTGTATCACGAGTTTATCACATCACATATGACGGTTACCTATTTCAGGTGTTCACGTAAAATGGAACCGTTCACGTTTGAACTTATATTTTGTCAATCTATAAGAGAAGGCCATGAAGAATCATTTAAGTAAAATGTGTACATTTTTTGGATCAAAATATTCACTCAAAAAACCATGTATCAAGTTCACGAAAAGCTGGACGAACCCACCCTCATGTTATGTCACTTATGTGTTATTTTGAGCCTAAGGTCGATTATTGGTTTGGAAAATGGAAGCCACTAGCCTCAAACTTCTAAGGTTATATATACTAAAAAAAAAGCATGCTGTAAATTAATGTAAACCTTGAATATGAGTTACGCTTGGGCTCCGAGTTCCAACTGTAGTGTGTGGTTGATAACATCAGCGGTTGGACCCACGAACTGAACAGGCCCTGTTAAATTGTAGATCGTCAGCATTCAGAGATCACCATCCTCCCTGGAGAATACTAGCAAATACTATGTAATTGAAAAACAATGAAGGCTGTACACTTGGGAGCTATTTGTTTCATTGAATTCAAATGATTCCAAATGAAACCAAGGGTGGTGCCTGATTGGTTTGAGTTTGGCTTCAAAGGTCAAAAATACCAGGAGGTCTCAAGTTCAAATCTAAGGAGGAATAAAAATCCCCTTGTGGCCATGGAGGTTCAAATACGGTGACTCCGGGCTATCTGCAAAGCAGGTGGTCGCCCTGGGATTAGTCGGCTCGCATAGCGGGTTGGATATCCAGGTTAATCAAAAAAATGATTCCAAAGGAATTGAAATGATCATTTCCTTTGACCAAATGCCAATTTGTTTGTTTGGTTCACATGTTGAAAATATAGAAATCACTTGAATTCAATTGAATTTGTTTTATTTAAGATTTCACCCAAAGATTCTCATTCCTTTAATAATTCCATCCAACCAAAAGCATGGTCAAATTTCATCAAATTCAATTCAAAATCAAATTCTTTTGACCGATTCCAATTCCAACTAAGGGGTCGTTTGCCAAACACTTACCTGGTAAGTGCTTACCGGTAAAATTTAACACTATTATTTACGTACCGGGTAAAATTTTAGTCCACCAAAACGACATCCTATGCAACAATTTACCCGATAAATGCTTACCGTGGTAAGAGTCGTCTCCCTCACTTACCGGGTAAGATTCATGGTCCTTGTCTCGCTCTTACCGGGTAAGATTTTTGGTCCTTACCATATTCATCCAGTGAGGTAACATGACTTGGTAAGCACTTACCCGGGTAAGTGTTTGGTAAACGGCCTAAATCTCATTATGTGTCATCTCGTTTATGACTGTTTACTGCATTTCTAGGCTTGTGGGTTAGCATTGTTGATCGGATCGTCGTTGCATCACCTTAGATCTTGTTTTATCCAGATTTGTTGTTCGGGTCAGATTTTAACTTCGTCTTCACTTTTTACTGTGGACTGAGGAAGTGGAAACATGTTATTGTGTTTGTCAGTGAAGCCCGACCCTACATGTGTCTAGCTGATGAAGGAGTTAACAAGGGGTAGCTTACGAACATACCTGGATTGATATAGCGGTTCTTTAAGGACCAGTCATCGCGCATAGATGCAAACTTTTTGAAAGGAGCACCTGATATAACAGAAATGTAGATATCATACAAACACTTCTACGGCATAAGATTACTGTTGCCAACTAGTCATTCAAACTAACAGATATGCATACAAAATGAAGAACTTATTACCTTCAAGTTCCACCATTGCTTTCTTAATCACAGGCTTAAACTTGCCTGCAAAAAAGGTTAACAGTTGTGCTTTTAGCCTAAACAGTGGAATTCTTGAATGATTTTATGTTAACTCAAAAGCTTCAACTACTCACCCAACCCATTAAAACTATGACACTTGATTGGACAAGCCGGAGTTGTATTGCAAATCCATGACTATTTGTCAACAATGGAAATAGGTGATTCAACCTTGGAAACTTGTAAGATAAATTCCCTACATCTTTTTTAACTTAAGATGACAGAAGATTAACTAACAACCTTAAGTGAGTTATACGAACTCATTATCTGATATGCATTTATATACAGGACAGGGATCTGGAGGTCTTCACGAAAACAGCCACTATACTCTTTGGCAGTGGTGGATCCAGGAACTTTGGTGATGGGGATCGGAATTAAGGTCATGGTCATGTAGTTGGCAAGGAATTTTATGTGTTTGTTTATGGTGATACGCCGTAACTTTTTTTCTTTCCCAAGAGAGATCATTCAATTACGGATATTAGGCATCACATGAGTAGAGCTAGTTGAAGAACATTACAAGAATTATAACTACCACTATTTTTTTTTAAAGTTCATTTCTTGTAACGAAATAATAGAACAATTAACAAAAATATAATAATAGGCATCAACTAACGGATCCTAATCCTAACAATTAATAATTAACCGAAAATTAATGATCAGGCATCAACTAATAAGCCCTGATCGTTACAGGGTTAGGTTCTGGTAAGAAGGAGAGTTAAAGTGAGAAGCGTAAGAAGGGATCTCCACCTTTGGATGCCCATTAGGATGAGATGCATCGAGATGAGATGCACCAAGATGCACCAAATCAATCCCCATATCAAGCCCCATTCATGGGTGAGTTTGAGATTAAAGGTGATCAAGGATTCTGATTTTTTTTACGCTTCTCATCTTAACTCTCATTATCCTTCGCTGATCCTAACAATTAACAAAAAATAACTATAATACATCAATTAACAAACTATAACACTGACAATTAATATAAAAAACAAAATATCGAAAAAAATTGACAATGAAAATGGGTTAAATTTTTGTGGGGACAAAACTTATTTTTGTTGGGGGTCGAAACAATATATGTAGTTATAAAAATTAAATATTATAATGTAAAAATCATTTTTTTTAAGTTTGTGGGGATCAATGGACCCCCGAGCCAAGCTATAGGTCTACCAATGCTCTTTGGGGTAGAGGTCAAGTTTGTGTACACTCAAGCCCCCAGACCTATCTTCGAGTAGGATATACCAAGTCAGTTTGGTTTGGTATGCAGGACAAGGGTTCAGGAAACATGAGGATGTAAGGGGAAAGATTTATACCATGTCTCCTCTCAACGTCCATTAAAGATGTCAGTGCCGTCCCACCTACTGTCCAATCTTCAACTGGAGCTCCCAAATTACCCACCTAGTTTGATAACATAACCATGGTAAGATCGGCACATCATATGCTGATGTCTGCTGTAAGAAAGGACGTATGATGATCCGAAGAAAATTGTAGACAGTCAAGAACAAGGAAAGAATAAATATCATACAGAAAAAGAAAGATTAACTACCAACCGAAGAAATCAATCCTGTCTTCCCAGAATGAAGCAGAGCTGCAGCACCATAACCCAAAGCATAGCAGTAGTTTGAGTCAAAGTTGGATGGCAAACCACATCTACCCTCATAACTGCATAAAGACTGTTTTTCAGAAGAAATAGAAGCAATGACATGAAAAGGAAAGGAAGTGAACAACATTTGTATTTGGTTTCTACATAGATCCAATTACACAGATGTGCATTTGGTTGACGGATGGGGCTGGATGGGCAAGAGTGAGGTAGATGGGTGAAAGATTTGTGGAAGGTTTTTTAGGGTTTTAACTTGACATGGGTGGTTTAATAATTTAACAAATTGTCCCAACTTTCTATTTTTGTGGGATAGAAAAAATGCACTTTTGTCGCACTCAAGTCATGACTCGTTGTCGTGGTCCGATGCCGCGTCAAACATGAGACAACAAGTTTTTGTATTGTCTATACCATCTTGTCCTGCTACAAAACGCATATTATTACTTACCCAAAAAAGTGTGGCTGCCCTTTGAATTCCTTCTTATATTTACCCTCCTTTTTCCTTGACTCTAGTTCAGCTTCCACCATTTGAATGAGCATCTTTTCAGTTTCGATTTTCGCAACCTATGTGCATTTAACCCAAAATAGAAACAAAGAATCAAACTTAAAAAAAAAAGAGAGCATGCAAAAGGATGCGTAAATTTCTATTCTTAAATAATCAAATATGCAGCACTCAAGCATCATAACTACCTGCACATTTCCATGGGGATCTCTTTCTAACAAAAGTTGTTCCTGAATTGCGTTTGGTAATATCTCGAACAGCTCATGAGATTGGCTCCGAAGTTTCTTTTTCCATGCTCCTTCTTTGTCAATAACATCTTGGGCTAAAATTTCATTAAGCTCTGCAATAAGTTGTTGCACCTGCAGATCACAAGGAACAATACCACCACTAAATGAGAAACGATCATCAACATTAGATCAGTTCCACTTGCTTTAGCAGACTGATCATTTACTGCTTGTAGGGGTGGGGTGGTTTTGGTTTAGATATATACCTCTGGAATGAAATCAATCAAGCCTTCTGGTATGAGGATAATACCATAATTGTAACCAGCTTCTGCACGTTTGCAGATTATATTTGTTATATTATCTGTAACATTCTTCATTGTCTGCTTTTGGGCAGCAACCTACAACAATAAATTATGAAGACTAAAGGTTATCAAAACTAATTTGTTATTTAGTCCCTAATAAGTAATAAATCCTCAAAGATCTTTCAGCAAAAACTGTTAAGCCTTCAATTTTCTCTTAAGAGTTTCTAAACACATAGGAGTTTCTAAACACATGTAAGTCAGATATATAAACACAGAATAATCGGTCTTCCAAGATATGGGCAAGCCTAGAACCAGTACAATAGTGCTGTACTTACAAAAATAGACATACAAGTCACACCACCTTCAATAGGCAACCAGATCATACTCTCATATAGGATGGTTACAGTAACATAATAGACTAGGGGACCACTGTTCCTTGCTTTGAACGAAGCAGCTATGAAATCCAGAAGCAGACACAAAGCTTAAATGAGAAATCATGGACAAAGTCATAACACTACAACAGAATTAGACAACGAATTCTGCTTTTGTGTTAAGCAAATAGATGTTAATTATCCAACCTTGTATACTTGTAAATATTAAACTGGCTACGCATAACAACAGTATATAAACCTACAATTTATGGTGTGGTATTTGGAGAACATCATTATGATTACCATGCCATGTAATAAGCTTCAAATAGAAACATCAATCCTCTACCTATTACTGAGCCCCCTTCCTCTTCCTTTCCGATCTAAAATAATTGGGTGAGCTAACTGAGCTTTCAACCATTTATTCAGATAACATCAAGACAAGGATAAAGGGATACCTCTTCTCCAATGATTGTTATGTTTGGATGAGTCTGCAAAGCACATTCCAGGGTTATGTGTGATGCAGCACGGCCCATTAACCTTACAACTGCAGGTTCAGTTACAAAAAAAAAGAGAGAGAGAACATGAGCTAATGTAATGTACAATTTCGAACAAGATTTTACACAAAGGAACCAACTGTAATGCATCAAGAAAGAAATCTAAACTACGAAATATATTTCCAAAGATGATAAGCTTAGACGAGTGACTTGGATGGTATGTACCTCTTTTACATATTAAGTATTCAATTCAAGATTAGGATTTCATTAAGTGGTTGCTTTATATGTAATTTTAATACTCTTGAAGAGTTCTACTACTAAGAAATAAAGGGGAGATCTCAAGTGTAAAGGGACAATATTTTCTCAGTTTCAACAAACTACAATGGCTGAAACATGAACACAGAACACAGAACACTTACAGTGATAATACTTCCCAGTGGAACGTGCATCGACCATCAAATTTCCAATCATTTCTGAATAGATCTGCATACCATAGAGAAAAATTTAATGCAAACCTTGCACAGATTAACATTGCAGCAAGCTGCCTTGCATGCAATTTGGTGCAGTGAAATTCAATCTAGGTGCAGAATTCCTGTCATGAGTTGATTACCTTGCAGGCAGTGTCAAATCCGAAACTTGTCGGGACTTCTTTGCACTTCAAGTCGCCATCAATAGTCTTTGGGCATCCAATAACCCGAGTTTTCAAGTCATTAGTCCTTCAACAAGTTAAAGACACGAATAAAGTCTTCATGAAGATACATCTGATGGTTTGCAAGAAGATGCAACTTGTTTTGAGCAGAAACAGAACCAAACAGACCTAAAGTCTTCTGCTAGCAGGCAAGCATTTGTATTTGAGTCATCCCCACCAATGACAACAAGGCCATCCAATTCAAGCTTCTTGACTGTTTCCTGAGCCTCTTTAAACTGCAAGACAATGCAACCTCATCAACAAACCTAAGGTTTTAATCAAGGCCTTGCAAAGGAGTAATGCAATTTTAATAAGAGGAGACTAGTTTCAAATTAAATATTCCAAGACATCAGATTTGAAAAGTTACAACCTGCTCAGGTGTTTCAATCTTGTCCCTTCCACTGCAGATCATATCAAAGCCACCCTACAGTTTAAAATGATCCCAACAATCTAAGGAAAGATTAAGGTAGAAGTGTATGATTCACACTAGTGGAGATGCACAAAAGGCATGAGGAACAGACCTGGAACAGGAAGGACAGGTTACGGGACCAATCCAGGTCTTTGGGCCTGATTCAGTTAAGGGTTTCAGAGCTAGGACCGGATAAGGACCGATCCAAAAAAGGACCAATAAAGGTCTGGATGTCAGGCCCAATTCAGGACCGATTTTGAACCGGTCAAAGGCAGATCTTTAAGGTATGGACATCCGGACTTGCTTCTGCGAAAGCAATAGTCTGACTTAAAAGAACAAAATAGGGCCGTCCCTGATAGGTCCTATTTTCAAATCCATGACCGTTTAGGGTCCGGCCTTGTTTTTTGAGAAATTGGGACTGTGCCTCAAAGGATATATTCAGATTTCTGAACCTAGCTATGAAATCACAAAAAACATGCAACATTTGCACTAAATTATATTTCATGTGCTTGCCAAAAGTAATTGAAACATTACCTGATTTCTGTAAGGATAGACAAAATCGCCTGTCAACTTAACATATTTACCCTTCATAATTCCAGCTGGGCCACCTCTAAATCCATACATTGTGCTGCCTTGGGTCCTACTCTGCAAATAGTCTGTAGTCCAGCCAAAGCACTCAGTGAAAGTAAGACCATTGGAAATTGATCAACAGGTTATCAATGATCAAACAAGTAACATCTCACAAACACATGCTAATCAACATCTTCAATTCAATGATTTGCTTACCAAAAATTCCAGAAATCACATTGTGTCCACCAGGAGCCTGTCCTCCAGATAGAACAACACCAATCTTTAGACTCTGCTCTGGTAATGAGCCTCCAGCCTTTAAGGATGCTGATGGCTGCCCGAACAGCTTCGGAAAGAGCTTAGCGATCTTGTCTACATTGTTATAATCCGAACATTGGAATTACTGAAAATACCTAACGTGAAATATACCACAATACATCTTTAAATATAATACGACCAGAACATACAGATGATCAGAAGATCTTAAACTACTAGGTGCAGTAATTGTACCTTAAAAGGTAAAATCTGTGAATCTGAACATAAATTGAAATTTATACTAATTGCACCATATGTTTTTCAGGTCTCCAAACCATTTTTCAATCTATAAACGCTCACTTTTCAGTTGTCATTATCGTTTAGAACTAACATGATATTCACGCACACAAATCAATGATTTGGTACAACTCAGGGTGGAGTTGATAGTATCTGATACACGGATGACAATATCGCTTACACCTTAGCTCTACATTGTCCATATGTGATATATCTAAACCGAGAGATGGATTTTTCTATCAGCTTGAATGAAAAAACGTTGCATTGTCTGAATTTTATGTAAAACGCTGACGTTCATCAGCTCGAACGAAAAATCATCGTATTCTCAGTATCTAGCTAGTTAGCATCATGCTAATCGTACATACAGTTGAGAGTAGAAAATACATAAATCATCTCCAGAACAATACATAAGTGAAAAATTCGAGTATGAATAGAACCTGGATTGCCGGTGGCGGAGCTCTTAGGACCATCGACGACATCAAATGAGGATTTGAGTACGGAGGGGAGAGGCAAGAAAACTTTAAGACGGCTAGTCTGGACTTCGCTGTAGACAGAGGCGGAACGACCAGGTTTCTCATCACCGGCGGTGGTGGACATGACGAACGACGCAAACAGCGATCAGTTGCCTGAAAGTAAGACAAGACGGTCGGTGGAATTGGTGACGTGAACGAAAAGGAGGAGGGTGGTCTGTGAGAGATGGTGTGATAGAAGAAGACTGAGAGTTGGTTGTGGAGAAGGGTAAAAAGGTAATTTTGATATCCGGGCCGATTGGGGCGGGAGATGAAAGATGGGTGTCGTTTTTATTTGCACGAGACTCGTTCTTAAATCAATTGTTTCGTACCGTTTTATGTAACTAGCATTGTTAGATTTGAACTAGTAAGTGTCACTAAACCAAACACTTATTTGATAAGCGTTTATCGATAAAATTTTAATATTGTTATATATTTATTGGGTAGGAATTTAGTTCACCAAAACGGTATCACATACAATAATTTACCCGGTAAGTGCTAACCATGGTAAGAGTCATCACCATCACTTATCGGGTAAGATTCCCGATCATTGTCTTCATTCTAATCGGGTAAGATTCTTGATCTTTTCCATATTCATCCAATAAGGTAATGTGACTTGACAAATACTTATTCGGATAAGCGTTTAGTAAACGGCCCCTAAATTACGTTTTTACTGTCTCTGGTTTGTAAAAAATTGTGGTTTTTGTTACTGTGGTTTGTTAAAAATTGTGATTTTTTTTCGTGAGGGCTAAAGCTAAGTCCAAACTAAGGACGAAAACAACAACAAATTGTAAATCATAGATGATGAAAACAACCAGTGACGGACCCAGGAATTTTCTCGAGTGGGTGAACACTTAAGGTGACATTTGTTTTTTAAAATTTGCTGAAGTTTGAAGTCTGATTTTATTTCTGATTTATAAGCTAAAGTCTGAAATTTGGACAAGCAATATTGTTTGTTTTTACATATGAGCTCTGAAATATGAATCGATCAAAGTAGTGCAAAAATATAAAAGATGAATAGTTTTTGCTAACAAATATTTTTAAGCCCCCCAAAATATGAACCATGTGATAGAGGGCATATTATGATTAATATGTATTACGAAATACATTTACCACTTAAAATTTCAGAAGACATTAAAAGCTTTTAAACTCTTATTTCACAAATAAAATAAATGTTCTTAATACTCTACCGTCATATTCATTAAGATGTAATTTTTAAAAAACAAACATGCCCTTAATCTATTTAAAAAAGTGCAAATTTAGTCCTTTGACTATCCATCAACTTGCAATTTTAATGCATTAAACTTTTTCTAATATTTTTGACCAAAAATAGTCAATTTTTATATAATTTTGATTACATCGTTGTTTTGTAAAGATGTCCATTTTCTTATCTGTAAGACTAAAGTTGTAAGGGGTGATATTCCTTGTTGATATGGACAAAAATCGGTTGAAATATATGTATAATTCACTCTAACATACAATATTAATATGTTTGTAACTTTGAAAAAGAAAACGAATGTAGGCATAAAATGACCAAATTACCCCTCATGTGGGAGGGACAAACGAACTTAATGGACCCTTTACTAACATCGTTAAGAGAAGTGACTACTTTGGGCCGAAAAACACAAAAAATGGACCACCAACATACTTTACGAATTAAGATCACATGTGATTAACAATAAGATCTACATATAAATTCAATCACATGATCATAACAAAATTCGGAACTATTTGTTAACCCAACAATCATTACCACCAAATGAAAAGAAACTTGTACACAACCTAAGTAAGCAATTGAACCATTAATAATACATAAAGGTCGTGAAGTAGAACCAATTGAAACAAGTTACTTCAAGAGCAAAAGATAGATCACCTACACAAAAAACCAAAATCAATTGTATCATCTAAGTAATAACATTTCTTTGAGGCATTTCATCAAACATTTCTTCATATCTGCCATGTTTTCGTTCGTATTCTTTTGCTCAGAACAAATTGTATCCTTATAAATGAAAATCTGTGAGAAAAACAATCTAGTCGAAGGAGGGCGATAAAGCTCTTTTTCAAACAGGGCCTTAAACTGTTTACCAAACGCTTATCGAATAAGTATTTGCATAGTTACACTTATCGCCAAAAGCCAACACCCTCCCTTATCTTATCATCTAAGGTTATCAACCATCAAAATTGATTAATGGTAAGCATCCCTTACCACCAAGAGTCTTTCTCTCTTACTTACCAAGAAACATTATCGATTATTATTTTTGATATGTTTATTACCAAGTATAACCACTAGGATGATGTCTGATTGGTTTGAGCTTGACTTCTAAGATCAAAAGTACCAAGAGATCTCAGATTCAAATCCAAGGAAGAATAGAAATCGCTTTGTTGTCACGAAAGTTCAAATACAGTGACTCCAGACTATCTACAAAGCAGGTGGTTGCCCTGAGATTAGTCGGCTCGCATAGCAGGTTGGATATCCAGGTTAATCAAAACTTTCAATCATTTTCATGCTCACCGATAAGATAAGTAGTCGGATAAGTAACACGCACTTCCCTACGGCTCCTTGGTTACAAGTTGCAAAACTACACCAAATTTCCATGGCATGAAAATTAACCAAATAATAATTGTTTGATTTATTTACAGAAGAATAATCTGCTGCTAATATTTCTTGTAAGAACAAGCCTCAGAAATTCAATTTATCATCAACATGAATTCAGTCGGTAATTCCAACTTTGATGAGTTACTTCCTCATTGGCTTTCTGTTTTTTCCCAATTCGATTAAACCAATTCAATTACAAGGTTTTGAGCTGAATAAAAGAACGTGGTTGCAACAAAATCTAACACTTCACAAGTTACAATATGATTCAAAATAATGCAGCTAAGCTCTATCAATGGAGCTAACATCACAAAGTTAGAACAATGCAACATTGGCTACAGTTGACGTAGCATCGAACCTGAAAACAAAATATATCAATTTGTTATCAATTTTGTGCATTTGTGCAGCGTAAATGAAAAACCAAAGATATTCTCCAAAGCCCAAAATAAAGTCATGTCGTTTCAGGTTCGAATTCAAAGGCCACAAAGGTTCCAATGCGGTGACTCTCCAGGCTACACACGAAACAAGTGATCGCTCTGAGATTAGTCGACTCGTATAGCAGATTGTATATACAAGTTAATAAAAAAAGTAGTTAAACAACAACTGCAATCAAGTGCGATCTTCAATAATACAAAAAAACATGTCAATTCAGCGTAAATCGTACCATACAGAGTGAAAAGATAACGAATGTCAATTGAATTCAACAAAATAGTGGAGCCTCAGATGGTCGATGATTATTTATCATCAATGTAAACTCAGTCGGTAATTCCAACTTATAATGATTATTCCTCATTGGCTCCACTTTCTGCTATTCATGTTTAACGACTACAGAAATCCAAAAACATTTTAGTTCCTTTTCATTTTGAAATAAAAAATGCTAGTAATTCTTAAGTTCATAGAACCAAAAAAAAGCCTCAGATTTGCAATTTCTCATCAATGAATTCAGTCGGTAATTCCAACTTATAGAGTTAAATCCTCATTGGCTTCAGCTTCATTCCAATCAAATAAACAAACAGAATTCTAAGATTTTGATAAAAACATGAAGAATGTAATCGCAAAAACCGGCTCTGTGAATGAACGAAAACTTATCAGTTCACAGGTTCCTATAACAATGCGAAACACAGAAGCTTGTTATAGGTTCGATCATAGCATCGCCGGTCAATGCAACTTTGGCTACCGGCGACGTGGCATCAAACCTGCAAAACATAGGATTAAATTGACATCTTGCCATCTAGATTTATGGACCATTTACCAAACGCTTACTCGGGTAAGCGTTTAACAAGTCACATTATCTAACAAAATGAATATGGTAAGGAACAAAAAACTTACCCGATAGGAACAAAAATCTTACCCGGTAAGAACAAAACAAGAACCAAGAGTCTTACCTAGTAAATGAGAACAAACGACTCTTACTATGGTAAACGATTACTAGATAAATTGTTGCATGCAATATCATTTTGGTGAATTAAAATCTTATGCAATAAGTAAATAATAATATTAAATTTTACTAGTAAATATTTGATAAAAAAGCCTCTTTAGATGCACTAAAAATATTCACATAGCACGTTTATTTATGTAATACCACTTAACTCTATGCATTCAAGAAAATCTTAATATAATACAAACATTAACTGACAATCCACTACAATCAACAATTGAAAAGTGTCACCCTCAAAGAGCTGACAAGTTAAAGCAAAAATCAAAATGTGTAGCATTACTAATTAAACTTTAAGAAATAAATAAGTCGTATAATGCAGTATAACTATATGATATAACCATCTTAGCAACCAAAATTGGATAGTTGGTACCAAAATTGATTGGTTTGTATTTTGATACAAAATTTACACCAGTTTGAATAATCCATGACCGAATCTAACCAATTTGGCTACCGGTGACATGGCAAAAAACCTGTGCATTTGTATGTGGCGTCGATTACAAAAACATACCATATTCTGCAAAGCCCAATCAACTACAGCTCCCCATAAATCAAGTTAGGTTTGGATGGGAGGCAGACCACCGTTGGTCCTTTCAAAAACTTCCAAATCTCGGTCATCACACAAACGAAGAGAGAGGGAAATACAGATTTAAAAATGGTATATACAAAGCTAAATAAAACCATAAACCTTATGAAAAATCATCGGCCGAGTGATACCTAATCTCTTAACCTAAATCAAAAAGGAAGCTCTACGACAACGAAAAAGGAAGCTCTTACTAGAGCGTAGATCATATGCAAGAGATCTACAGGATAAACAAATATCGATTCAATTTAACAATATAGAGGAGCCTCAGATGGTCGATGATTATTTGTCATCAATGTAAACTCAGTCGGTAATTCCAACTTATAATGATCATTCCTCATTGGCTACACTTTCTGCTATTCATGTTTAACTACTACAGAAATCCAAAAACATTTTAGTTCCTTTTCATTTTGAAATAAAAAATGCTAGTAATTCTTAAGTTCATAATACCAAAAAAAAGCCTCAGATTTGCAATTTCTCATCAATGAATTCAGTCGGTAATTCCAACTTATAGAGTTAAATCCTCACTGGCTTCAGCTTCATTCCAATCAAATAAACAAACAGAATTTTTAAGATTTTGATAAAAACATGAAGAATGTAATCGCAAAAACCGGCTCTGTGAATGAACGAAAACTTATCAGTTCACAGGTTCCTATAATGATGCGAAACGCGGAAGCTTGTTATAGGTCCGATCATAGCATCGCCGGTCAATGCAACTTTGGCTACCGGCGACGTGGCATCGAACCTGCAAACAAAAATCACAGTAACTATCAGAAGCTCGAAGATCGGCATGAAGAGTTCAGAAGATTTAAAACAAAAACTGAGAATCACGCTCGAAATCAGAGACACGGTTGCAAGATAGCTACAAAACCCGACCGACAAACACATCAGTTTATATTCTGAATTGCAGACCGCGGATGGTTTGAAATACAGAGCACCGTTGTGCTCGCCGGAAACTTGTAATCTCAGACATAAATATCTATACAACAAATAACTGCATACAAGCATGCGAAGGATACGATAGATTGAGACGCATGGTGGTATATATACAGGACTGTAAAATGATAAACCCTAATTCAGACTTTAGGTCAAGAACTTGGGGGATAACTGGGCCATGAAAGCTTGTCAAAGCCCATACTGATGTGTGCCTTGAAAACTTGGACCCTTATGTTAAGGTTTAAGTTGAACCGAACCTTTTTTTTTTTTTTTTTTTTTAAGGTTTGAGCGGTCTGGTTATCCGATTTAATCTGAAAATAATCAAACCGTTTAGTTTGGTATAGTCTACAATTTAAACGTTTTTTAAGCAGTCTGAACGGAACTGACCGTAAAAAAATATACATGTATTAATTATACTAGAAGGATACTTGCATAATGCAGCAAGTTATATTTTGATTTTAATATTTTATTTTATTCTTTATCTCAGTCGATGTTATAATATGGTCTTATGTGATTTTGAAAAAACGAATATGTTTTTATTTTTAAATAAAATAGAAATTTAAAGATATCATAAAAATTTGACAAAAATATATCGATATTAGTATCAAATTAACTATTTAAAATTCATATTTTTGTGTAATTTTTTAATTCAATTTTTTTATTATAATTTAATTTAACTTTAATAACGAAATCATTTATATTTAGTTTAATAATATAATTTTTTATAAATATATTAATTAATTATTTTGTTAGAACTCGGTAATTATCCTAATTATAATTTAGATTTTTTATATTTTAAAATGAGATGTTCATCATCTATTTGATTATGTTTATCCGCAGTTATTTACACAAATTCAAACATAAAGCTTTAATAAGTTGTACTTATGGATAATTTACTTGTAATTTTGAATTTTAAGTAATATACAGTACTCCATTCATAAAAAATGATTTTTAAGAGTCTTTGTCAAATACTTTATAATATAGTATTATATTTAGTTTCAACTTACTTTTATGGGTAATTAAAATAAGTTTGTCAAATACATTATGTTTTTAATTTTCATTTCTCAATCGACCATTTTATTTAAATTGATAAATTTATGAAATCCATTAAAAATCAAATTCTAAAATCAATCGTCAATCGACTTGCTAAACGTTTATACAAAACTTCAACTATTTGTTTGTGGACTTGTTTTACTTTTTTCAATTTAATCAATGTTTTTTTTTAGAAATAAACGCTTCTTTCATAATTTGGTATATTATTTTTTAATAATGTTACATTGATAGAAATTTTATTTTGAATATAAATATTATGTGTTTTTTAGTTTAAAGTCCATAAGAGACTCAACCCGTCTAAAGCAGTCAGACTAGGCATTTTTTGGTCCGGTTTGACCGACTTGGTCACTAGCTACCAGACAATTCAGTTTGAATTTTTTTCTAAAACGCAATTACGGTTTGGTTTGTAGTTTGGGGATTGAACTGCTTAATTTACGTGATTTTTTAATATTTAAGTTTATAATTTATGATTTTACATCTATAATATTTTTAAAGTTTTATGTTTAAACATCATTAAAGCAATTAATAAATATGTTTATATGCAAGATAAATGTTCAGTTTTATTAATATAGCAAAATACTTCATAAATTAAACAATAATGAAAATTAAATTAATTTTTCAATTTTTGTTTAGTATAAAATTTTAGATATTTTTTTTTGAAGTATAAAATATTTATATACAGTAAATGCAACAAATAAACTTGCATATCCTCCTCACCTTTTGTGAGGTTTGAACCCTTGACCTCCTCGGATGCCAGAGACTACGATACCGCAAAAGATAACAATACAAGCAATTTGTAGGAATTGGTGTTTAAATACAAGTTGGAGGTTTAAAATTTTTTATAGAGTTTAGTCAATTTATAACAATTAAGTGTGATATACGGATCATATATCAAACTGGTTGATTCATGGGCTGCGGTGTAAACAATTCAATTTTTTAACGAGCTATTTGAGACTGAATTTCTTTCCCTCGACCTCGAGCTTAGTAATTCTTGAGTTCGAGTCGATTTCAAACACAAAATAGAGCTTGATTAACTTGACGAGTTGAGCTTCATAACACAAATGTTCGACTTCGTTCATTGCGAAACTCAATTAAATTTTACGAGTCGAGCCATTTGAACATACACTTTTCCGAGCCACACATATTATGTAAGCCAAATATAAAAATGATTGAGCTTGAGCAAATAAAGGAGTTAATTGATCTTCTGTTTGAGCCTCTAAACGAGCATTAAGCTTATACATTGAAAAAACATTCGAACTCGAGCCCGATTTTGAAAAAGTAACCTTCACGTTTTTTTGCTGTGAAAGTTCATTTTTTTTACCTTAATAATATTTTGTTGTGAAGTTTCAAGTGTAAAAATATTGTTTCACGTGAACTCAACCCTTATATGTGTGTGTGTGTGTGTGTGTGTATATATATATAAGAGTAAACTTCATTTGGTCCGTGGGGTTAAGTGATTTATTTGAAAGTGAGACTTTAACTTCAATAAGTCAAGTTATCATTCCTCAGGTTTGGTTTTTTCTTTGAAAATGAGTCCTAATCACTAACACCGTTAAAAATCTTCGTTAGAGTCTGGGCTAAAATCGTCCAATCATGTTCTCCTCTCTTTTTGTAATTATTTTTTGTTTTTACAGTATCAAACCATACTTCAAGGACGTGTATGTAATACTCTCTCTCTCTCTCTCTCTCACACACACACACACACACACACATATATATATATATATATTATTTACAGAGGCCAAATCACATGGACCATTCTTCTCAAACAACATCTCCAAATATTCGGTGAACAATGGTAACTCCCACTTCACCTCCGGGGATGACGAGTTTGGTTGGTTTTTGGAGATTGCAAGTTTGATAGTTTTTGATGAAGATGGAGGTCGGGGGTCGCTTGGTTAGGAAAGAAGATGGGTTTCGGGGTCACATGGGAAGCAGAGGGGAAAAGGAATGATCAGTTACACGGAAAAAATTATTTCATCGGAAAAAATGGTGGCTGTCTAAGAAACAAAACGTTTCCACTGGAAAAATGGTATGGTAGCAAATCCACGTTAATATGGTGAAATACGAGGATTTGGGTTTCTCCAAGTGGTTAAGCCTTTTCGAGCATTTATTACACGGACGATGAATCCAATGTTTTTCAAAGTGGTCGCTAGAGTTTGGCTGGAGTTTCGCTCGAGATTTGGTCTGTATGTTATATATATACACACACACTATCGGTATTTATGTAGTTAGTCCTTAAAGTTGGATTGTTTTTACAAAAATAAGAAAAAACCAAAAGGAATTGCAAAAAGGGTGGGGGTAACATGGTTGGACTATTTTATCCCTGATTAACGAAGATTATTAACGACGTTAGCGACCAGGTCCCATTTTAAAAGCAAAATTCAAACCTGAGGGACGATATCGTGATTTATTAAACTTTAGGTCTCACTTTTAAATAGATCACTAAACCTTAAGGACCAAAAGTGAAGTTTACTCTTCGTTTGAAAACCAGTTTTGTTGGGTTACAGGAACATGTAAACGGCGTGAAGAAGTCGGTTTTTAACAGGGACGGATGGAGGACGTCTCTCTGGAGCTTGCTTCCGTCGTCCACGTGTCATCCATGGTATCCCTATTCTTCCCTCTTCCTTTCAATCTAGAGAGAGAAACAAACACACAAAGATCATGTGTGAGATAGAAATAATTTGACGTTCTTTATTCGTCCAATTCATGAACCAATTTGAATTGCTTACATTCATTGATGATGGCTGCTTCGACACGCATGACCTGATCCCTCTCTTTGTTATGATGTTCCACGGTGTTTCTTTCGTTTCTTCTTCTGATCCTGCACAATGGCATTATTCGATTGATCAATTCCCTTCAGGTTTGAATTTACGGTAATTCATCGCATTTGCATGATATCATTTTATCAAGCTTTTCAAATTCTTCTGTGAATTTGTGTATAAAATCGATCAGGTTATTTGTTACTATTGATGTTTTTTGATATGCAGGGGTTAGAGCGTGGTTTACATGGGGGGATGCAACGATGTTCGACACTTTTTCCCTTTAAACGGTTTTCAGATTGGGTATGGGAATTATTTACATGAATTATACTTGATTTGAGGGTTTGAGTTTTTAAAAGGGTTTTGATTTGGTGAAAATTAGGATGCTAATTTTGTGAAAGGCATTTTCAGTTGCATGTAATTGATTTTCGTTGATGATTTCTTCAATTTAACATCAGCATTCTATTGTTTAAAAACAATAGATGCAACATTTGCTACTAAGGGTTTTTAAATAACAATGTACAGATGATGATGGGGTGTATTCATTTGTTATAAATTACATGACACACTTTCAAGAGTCTAAGATAGAATAGATGGTCACTTTGTTGAAGAGATGAAGGTTGTAGCCGTTTGAGGTTGCAGTTTGTTTTATGTAGATGACTACCAGATGTGATGACCATGTAGCTATGGCAATATGGTATGCTGGGTAGTGTCCATTGTGCTACTAACAAGACACATTCTTTTAATGGTAGATTTGTGACTTGAGTTTGCTCGATGGAGCCGTGGAGGGGAGAAATGCTATCATATTCACTTTTCCAATATAAAAGATCATCTAACAGTGGTTCCAAATGTGTGGTGGATAAGCAAATTGACACACGGTTTACCATCTAATTTGGATAGATTATCATGTTATGATCAACTGTAACTACTCAATTATTTATGTCTTATCTGTGACCTCTTCCAATGCAAGAACTTTCAGAAATGGGTAAATTTCTGTTTGCTACGTATAAGTCATATCATTGACTTAATTATGATATTTTGCTTGTAGGGATTTGCAGTCTTATCTTTCTGATCTTAGCCTTTTCTTGGCTCCTGAGAGTAAGACATTTTATGTATTGGTGGATAATAGGCCATGGCTGGAAGACCTAGTCTCAGGGCCTGCACACCTGTGGCAGTTGATGGTTACCAAGGTTGCAGAGAAGTCCAAAACATCCTAATAATTCTCCAATTGTATTAGGTAAGTTTTAATTACCCTTTCAATTTAAGGTTCCTTTTGATTATGTTTGCAGTCCAGGATGTCCCCCTTTGCGATCACACGAGGGCGGAAGGGAGGTAAAGGGGATCCAGAGTTCAGTGAGCTCAATTGCTGTTCCGACGCTTCAAGCCACACCCAAAAGTTGAAAAGATGGTTGTCAATGACAACACTTTCAAGAAAACGGGCCTTGCTACCTGTGAAGAAACTCCAAACTTCCTTGCTTGCAAATAGCCAGTTGCATAGAATACTGTATGGATTTATTGTTTTTGAAGTGGTATGGAATGATGTCCGTGGGATCAATTATCTGAATGAGCTTCAGGTATTTCTTGTCCTATATCTGTATGTTCTTTGTAGTGGAGTAATATGTAAGTGTGTTTATCCTATGAGCAGACTGCTACATCTCTTGCTATAGAGGCCAAATACATGAGAAGATGGGAATTTGATAGTATAGCTCAAGCTGCTACAGGCATAACTTCATGGTTTCCAGGGACTCCATATGAGCGTCTTCTCTTGGAACAGCATCTCAATTCTATGCTAGGTATATGTCTAAATACATTTTTATCAAATTTCAAGGAATCATAATTTTTAACAGCAAGAATATTGTACATTAAATTAAAACCAAACCAAACGAGCCTGGTTTATCCCACCTGGGGGTGGGGTTTTGGTGGGGATGGTGGTGGTTAAGATGTACGCAAATCTGACCTCTACCCTGAAAGCATAGAGCAGTTGTTTCCGTGAAGATCGGTTTGTGGAAAGTGTGTAGAAGAGAGCTATGACGAATTCTGAAAAATAGATATGAGTAAGCAAGTACATGAAAAACATTACCACGGTGCATAAAGCTGGAAACTACTCATTCCTAGTCTTAACTTAGGGCTCTGGTAACCTAAATACCGACTCACTAACCCAATTCCCCGCCCTCTTCCTCTCCAACTCCCTTACTCCCGACGAGATCCCTTCCCCTAGTCTGCTACCCTAGTCTTTTTAGGGTGATATTTAACTATTTTTCACAAAGCACCAAGGTCCCAAACAAAAAATTAGTTCAATAACCCGAAAACAATGCAAAAACAAGTAGATCTCAAGGTGTTTATCACGAAATACTAACAATGAGACTGGTAACAACCAACCAAACAAGAACTAAAGATCTATCAATGAGAACAATAACAACATGAGGATTTAAAGTGGTTTCACTATCGTGAGGTAGTGTACATCAATAGGGGTGAGATGGTGGTTCGTATATTAATATCAAAGAATATTACAAAGAGTTATTACAGATTACAAAGGTCAATCACTTCTTCTTTGACAATATGTAATCCCAAAAACACTCTCTCTCACTTTCTCTCTTAGTATTCAAGGTAGAAGGTAGTAGGAACAAGTCTAAACTACAATAAATGAAACCCTAGGTCATTTATGGCTGAAATTGCCTGTTCCAATAACCCAACCATTTGAAGCCGCACACAATCTCAAAGCCCAGGTCACACACATATTGGTTTGCTCAGAGTTTCTGTATCGAAGCTATCAGACCTATTCCTCGATCTGCCAAGGTTGCATGGCAAGGCTGCGTTCATCCATGAAATGCCTAAAGCCATAGTGTTGAACTTTAGGGGGGCGTTTGGTTTGTAGAATGGAATTCGATGGAATTGGAACTCATCAGATGAATTTGACTCTGAGGGAATGAAATGGAATCTGATGGAATTTGACCATGCCTTGTGATTGCGTTTGGTTGCATGGAATTGGATTAGGGAAGGAATCTGTAGGAAAGGAATTGAAATCCTAGCATATTGCCATGGAATTGTAAAATCTGTGCGTGAAGGAATCGACTGGAATTGAAAGGATTCCATCGTCTTATTCCATGAACCAAACACTCTATTTGGAATTTGGTCAAAGGATTGGACATTCCAATTCCTTTCAATTCCCATGATCCAAACAGCCCCTTAGTTGCCCATCCCACGTCCCTCGGCCTACCCCTCCTCCTCACCCCCTTGATCGTCAACACTTTCTCCTTTCCTCAATGGAACCACCATTTGTCTCCTACGAACGTGACCAAACAACCGCAGTCTTCGCTCCCTCGACTTATTCGTGATAGGTGCAACTCCCAACTCTACCCGGAAGACCTAGTTTGGTATTCTGTGAAACTTGGTTCTACCATAGCCCCGTCTAAGAATCCCCATTTCCTCAACTTCCATCTTCCTCTCATGGGCCTTGTTTTTCGCCGAACACTTCTATTCACACAACATAGTTGGTTTGATGCTACCCTATAAAATTTGCCCAACACTAAAATTAAATTACTTAACCAGATAAATTGTGATAATTATATTAAGAAAACAATTGAAACCATTACCATATACTTTGCTTAAATAAAAATATACACCCCGAAGCTAGTGACTAGATTGAGAAGCGATGATGTGAATCATCATCTTTCCTTGATTTTGGGATCTACCACCTCTCTTCTCAATTTTATTTTCAAGCTCTTGGAGGTTTGCAAACTTTTGCTCATGTCTTTCTTGACACTGCTCATTTGAGCCATTTTCAATCTAGTTTAGTGTTGTTTTTTTTGTAAATATATAATGTTGCTTTTACTTGTGTACAAGCAGTGTAAGCTCACTTCATTTTCTTGCATTTGATGATTGATGTCTATGTGGAAGAAGTCAGATATAATGAAGTCTAGTTTCGTTATTATGAATGTTCCAATTTTTATTCCATAGAGAAGGAAGTTTGGTGTTGCAGGTGTCTTTAGTTCTAGTAGATCAGAAATTGTGGTTTATGCTTTTCATGACTTTTAACTAGGACATAGATTGGAATGAGTTGATTTAGATATAATGGAGAAACTTCGGCGTCGTCTTGTTATCAAATGCTTTAAACAATTGACTAGCAACTAAAAAGGGGGAGGTTCAGCTTCTTAAAAGAGGTTCTTAATACTTGAGGTATGTTGTGAGTCTCCCATGTATACAACTCGGTTGACAGTGGGACGCATAGGGGAATTTTGTTAGTTCATCAGATCAATCTATAGACTTGTGTTATTTCATTGAATACATAACATGAGCTTTGAGAAACTCCCATCAATGTTACGGGGTTTGGGCATTTATTACAAGGGATAAATGCACAAAATAGCAATTTATTTAGGTCAAATTTCATTTTACACAATGTACAACTTTTTTTTACGCATAATACTGGAATAGCAAGGTACTTTTTCCCATTTTTGGCAAGTAAGTTACTGGGAGTTCCTCTTCACAGTCACCTTTGCTAACATGTTAGTGCCACATTAGTGACATGCTACATTGGCCAACTGATGCAATTTTAGCATGCAACAGGTTTCTAGGTAACTTAGCGGGCGGTTGGTACGCTGGATTCCTTTGGAATCTGAAGAAATTGGAATGGCCAAATTTGTTGACCAAATTTCATTCAACTGTTGGTTTGCACATGGAATGGAATTGAATTCCATAAATTCCACCGTTCACAGATTTCATTATGTCATCGCATATGTGATGGAATTCAATTCCTACCCATTTTTTAAGAAAGACCAAAATACCCCAAAAAACTCTAGCCTACTATATGCATGACCAACACCACCACCACCCTCACCGCCACCCCCACCTCTGCTGCCATAACTGCCGCCCCTGCCAGCAACCATCCCCATCATTGCCGCCACCCGGCACCACCACCTACCCGTTTGAAATGGGAGAAAATAGAAGTGTGTTGCTATTATGCCTAGAAAAAGTATGTTGCCTAAAATGGGGTTGACCTAAAATAGATTGCTATTTGGTACATTTATCCCTTAGTACAATTGCATTCTCCCAATCCTTTAAAGATTCATTTTAATTGTTTGTATGAAGTTTGTTTTAAGGTTGGGTATTTATATTGTTACTCCAATGTTCACCAAGCCAACCAAGTGCGTGCAATCCCTTGGGTTTCAATATAATTCACTTCATGTACCAGATTTGTGAGGGGGTCTTATTAATTGCAATGTGTTTAAGAAGTGCATCCTTTAACCTTGATGCATGAACCATGTGCTACATACAAGGTCTCTACTTCAATTCTTTTGCTCTTTATTTCCTTACTTGGAGTACCACAAGACTACAAGTTTTCACATTTTTTATTTATCTAATTAATAGAACTTGGTCCATCTTCTGACCTGTTAATTTTGTTGATCTATATGCTTGATGTTTTTAGTCACTCTTTTTTAATGAACCTGGCAATGCCATGTCTTACCTAAGTGGTTGATGGCTAGCTCAACTGGAAAATAAAGGCTAGGTCTTGGGGCTCTTTCTCATAAGCCACCAGTTCGAGTCTCCTCAGGGCCACTGGGGTTTTTCCTCGCTGTTATCTTAATGGCAACTAAGGATTAGTCGAGGTGCGCGTAAGCTGATTCGAACATCCACGGTAACAAAAAAGAAGTATCTTTTTTACATCCCTGCCTCTGCCGCATCTGACATAAATCCCATGGAACTAATCAACTTTCAGTAGTGTTTCTGAATATGTTAGATATTAATAGCTGAGTAATTTTGTGCAATTGTAGGAGGATGAGCATACTTTCATGTATTTGCCAAAGAGTTCTGATGAATTTGGGGATAGCTTATTGTTATTTATTCGATATCTCTGCAGGAGAAGTAGTTCATGATGCTGGTATGGATTCTCCAAGCTTCTGCAGTACAAGTGATGATGGCACTGATGTGTTGGCAGAGGATGAATCTCTGTGCAGTCCTAGTGGTAGTCTTGGTGATCTATCAGAAAATTTAGAAGATCAAACAAGTGTATCACGTACACCTTCTCCCGATGAGCCCTATAAGAGAAGAAAAAATTCTCAAGATATTGATGTTGATGGTGATTTATATACCGAAACGTCTTACAGTGGAACTGCCAGCTGTCAAATACCCTCTCCGTGTCCAAGTGAATGTGAGGGAGCAACTGAAGCAATCCAGTACAGAGATGTGCTTCTTTTGTTCCGCTTTAATGATCGTGACCTCCCTTTTGCATTACGAAAGATAATTATGTCTGATTTGCGATTACTTACCTTATTGGAGGCTGGACTTCCATCTTGGGTAGTTTTCTTTCAGTCTTATCCGGTATTTTGCCATATCTATCGGCCATGGATGTGCCCTCTAGCAAGAGCTCTATACGTTGCGATTTCCTTTGTTACCGTCGTCATTGGTTTCTATGATTTGTACAAAAATGTCCCTGTTCTTAAGGCAACTGCTTCCCGTATGTTTGGACCTCTTTTTGACTGGATAGAAACGTGGGAGATGATATCAAGGATCAAGTACTTGGGAACTATGTTGTTTTTGCATAATGCTGAGAAGGCTATCATGTGGTTCTTGATGGTGACACGCACTGTTCGATCACTTTTTTCGGTTCTCACACAGCCGTTGGTTGCACCATTTCTGGTAGTTATGGACGCCCTATTTCCCTTTTGCAACTTCTTTATCGAGATGGGGGAGAGTCTATACTCATTCATTTGCATTCTGCTGGATACTTCTTGGAACGTATTGGAGGATCTAATTGAGATTCTACTGCTTCCTGTGTGGTTCATCTCATCAGCCATTTGCAGTTTCGGTAATTTATTTTTCTAATTTTTTAACCAGTTCAACGGACAGCATGGTTGGGCAAATTGCGCGAAAATGCAACATATTTTTTGCATGATTCCTATTTTGGGTAACATACTTTCAAAACCTTATTTTGGTATGTGAGATGTGACATCTCAGACATTTAGATATCTGGTTTACTGAAAATGCTGAATGAGAGTAAGGTATTTGTAGACTTGACATTGATTTTTTTAAATGCCAACCAATCTGGAAAAAATAAATTCAAGTAATTATTTTCTTAAATATTCAAAATTGGGATATATCTTAAATGATTACATGCTCCAGTTCCACAATTTAAAAAACATTACAATTTTAAAAAGATTAATGACAGTGGAATTGTTTCCGATTAGTTGACATTTAAATTTTTTAAAAATCAATGTCATGTCTACAAATACTTTATCGTAAATGTTTGAGGTGTCACATCTCAGTTACCAAAATGAAGGTTTTGAAAGGACGCTAATGGGTTGCATTTTCATGCAATTTGCCCCTGTATTGTTTGACGAAGTTTGCTATTATTCTGAATTTTGCCAAATTGAGCTGGTTGCAGCCACTGCTATTATGCTTCCTATATTCTGGTTCCTTTGGGGAGTAATTTGTGCTCCGATTCACCTCCTTATGGGACTATCCAACTTTGTGGGATTTATATACAAGTACATGTATGATTTAGTTGGAGCTATATGGCTGTTTGTGAGCAGCCTATTAAAAGTAGCTTCAAATACTGAGGCAACCGTGCACACTTACGAGGTTTCTATGTGGCGTGCCCTGTGGAATGACCTTTTCTCTCAGGTGGATGAAGCTTTAAATCCTGGCCCTTTGTGTTTCCGTTTATCTAGTTTACATATGCAGTTGCTGTACTAATGGAATTATTGTTCTTATTCTAGATTTTCCGTGCTATCAAGAGCATTTTATATGGCGTTGTTGCATTCTTTGCAGCTTGCAATAGACACCGATTAAGGTTAGATCTCTTACTCATGGGTCACTTGATTGCCTATCCAATAGCCATTGGGTTAAAAAAACGTAGCTCGCAAATAACTGCCTAACAAGCAGAGGCAGACCCAGAAAAGATTTTAAGTGGTGGTGCAATTTGACTATAAGGAAAAAATATATAGAAAATCAGTATAGATTTGTTGGTTGGTTCCTTATCCCTGCACAAAAGGAACCCATGTTCAAGTCTCATCTTCAAATTTCTTTAGAAACATAAAAGGCATAACAAACATCAAAATTTAAGCTGAAAACTAAGAAATTTGACAAAGGTGGGACTCGAACACGGGCCCATAAAAGACATGTGCCAGTACTTTAGTTTCAAAAAATATAAGGCACCCAACAAAACAATACGGTGGCACCCTTCAGAAACGTAATGTTTTTCCCTTTGATGGAACCATGAAGCGGTGGCCTGTACCACCGTATGCTCCTGTGTAGGCCCACCTCTGCTAACAACCTGACCTCTTTTGTTGATGTAATTGGACATAGTTTGCTAAAAAAAAAATTGATTCGCTTGTATTAATTTGTTAGGAAGCTTGCAAGTGCATTTGAAAATAACTGTAAGATTTAGATCATAAGGTGCTAGAGGAGGTTCCCTGAAAAAAAGGAGAACAGGGAAACCTACCTTATCAACCGTTGGGTCTTCAAAATAGATGACTCGTATTTGAATGTAACTACGCCTATAATCATGGAGTTAGTTTTGACAGAATTTAACAGCCCCTATTATTCACAACCGTTGGATCAAATCCGATCACTGGTTGATGGGGTTCCACGTTATCCATTTTTGTAGGGTTCTCCCTTGAACCCACATTTAAATTGCTATACCAGTTGTCATCCAAACCAAGTGAATGTTTTATGTGTTCAATGCTTTGTATATCAGATGTACCATAATTGTACCATGTTTTACCACATGCATACTCCGTGTTTGCTGTCAGAAATTTCATAGTGACTAGGGGTGCTCAAAAACCCGACCAAGCCGGCGAACCCAACCCGGAAAAACCCAAAAGAACTCAACCCGAGGTAACCCAACACATAGTTAATTTAAAATTTGGCCAAACAACATCTATTGGGTTGGAATTGGGTTAAGGTCATTTGAACCTAACCCAACCCGATGCCTTTCTATGCTATGGATTTAATATGATTGTTAAGTCCTTGATTAATATATGTACATTAGACATTAAACCAACTCGTAATTAGCTATATTCAAAATTATAATTACAATTTCAACTGTAATTTTACTTTCTTATTTGCATTAATCTTCAAAAAAATTTGAGTTTGTTAGCCTTTTTTGTATGTTCTCATTTTGATTTTTACCTCGTTTAAACACAAACTCTTAGCTAGATTGTAAAATGATGTACCAAAGTTTCATCCTGATCAACCCACCCCCACGGTTCAGGTTGGGTTGTAGTTTTTCTTGAGTTCGGTTGGGTGGAGATATTTTAAACCGCAAACATTGGGTTGGATTGTTCAAATGCTTCAACCCGGCCAACCATGTGCAGCCCTAATAGTGACTGCATGCCCTCTGTCTGTATGTCTTTTTGTGATGCTGAAAATAGTAACCCAACTGAAAAAAAAATCAAATTCCTTTGATATGCAGCATATACAACCATTTACTGGAGTTCATTCGAAGACCTTATCGGCCAGCCGAAATACCCGAGCCCTTGATTTTTAACAATAGAGTACAGAAACCTGGAAGTAGGACTCCGCCGGTAAGTTGCTACATGTGATGATGTTGTACACTGTTCTTGCTCGTTACTAGGATATACCTCAAGAAATTGCAACATTTTCCTTTCTGGGATGTCCCAACATTCCCATTTTTCGGGGTAGTTCAACTGGTAATATCTTGGGTTTCCTCCCCGGAGGTCAACCTCCGGTCCACTAGAGGGTTTGTCTACCCATGGGGCATGGGATTAGTCGAGGACTCGAGGTGTGTCTAAGTTGACCCAGACACCCACAGTTTGTCGGTTGCCACAAAAAAACATTCCTGCTTTTGGAGGTTTTCATGTTAAAATTGTTCAATATTTTCTTTTCTCTGGATGTCCCAACGTTCTCGTTTCTGTGGTTCAACCGGTAATAGCTTGGGTTTGCTCCCCATAGGTCTACAGTTCAAATCCCCTCTGGGCAACCGAAAGGTTTGTCTGGCTGCTAACTTCAGGGTCCCATGGGATTAGTCGAGGTGTAAGCTAACCCTGACACCAAGAGCTAGTCGGTTACCACAAAAAAAATGGTTCCTGCTTTTGGAGGTTTTCATGTTGAAATTGCAAAACATTTTCTTTTTGTCCATCATCAACATTACAAATTAATTGATGGTATTAACTAGGGTCCATAAAACTCCAATATTTTGTTATTGCATGGTACTTCAGATATTTGACAAACAGTCAAAAAGTCTGTGAAACATTGTTAAAAACAACTCAGCCTTGCAGGAGAAACGAACACGTCTTTACTTTACTTGGTGTACCATTGTGGTTCGGACTAAACCAAATGAACCCAGTAATTATTTTTGGGGTAACAGTGAGTATCCGGGATAGCTTAGGCACACCGACTAATCCTCATGCAACCACGAATAGCCTGAGTCATCGCAGGTGAACCTCCAAGGTCACAAGGGTCAAGGGCTTTAGCAGCGCCTGGAGTCGAACCCTGAAAAGATGAGAGTTTCACTACATCCCCTGAGCCTTAACCTGTGCACCAAAACTGAATATTTCCCACACAGAGGTAGGGTTTGGGGAGGCTAGGATGTATGCCAACTTTACCTCTACCCCAAGAGGTAGAGAGGTCTATTTTTGGAATTTTAGCCGTGGTTTCTACATTTACAAATTGTGGATTTTCATCCTTCTCTTTTTACAAAAGGACCAAATTTCCCCTCTCATCTCCCCATGTATTCGTAGTCAACATTCCGAGGAAATGGTCGAATCCGAGGAACTTTTCTTGGCAAACTTTTAGTTTCTATATTCATGCGAGGTTTTCCGCAAGTTTTGAATGCTTTGTTTTTGTATGATTACAGCCAGAACCCAAGGAACGAAGGCCATTGCCGAATAAAATCACGAAGCAAAGCTGACAAGATCTTTCATGCATTCTTTATTGAGATCGAATGAAACCGTTGGATAGAAACTATGAAGAAAACAGAAGCCATGGTTTTCGTCTTTCTTTGTATATATTGTTTCTCTTTTCTACTTTACTGCAGAAAGATGTTGTATATAAGATGTTTGTTTGTGTTTGGCAATGACGTTTGTAGTTGCTAGAAGAAGAAGATTGTGGTGAACATGAGTATTTCTACCATGATTTGCAGAGTCAATTTAGGTGGTAACAGGACAGGTGTGTGGTGGGGATATTGGGTGCGTTTGGTACACTAGATAGAACATAACTGATATCACTGTTTCATGTTTGGCATGACTTTCTTGTAGAACAGACAGGAACATGTGTGTTCCACCCTCACCCCGTGGAACAAGGTCGAAACAAGCCTATATTTTACCAATATACTTTTTTATGGTCACGGTTAAGACCATGAAACAGTGCTAACAAGACTTCATGGATCGGTCCTAGTTCTTAGACCAACGTTCGGATTAAGGACCTAGCGAAGACTGATATGTGATTGTTCGGATTTCTAGTCTGGACTTGCTTTCGAGGAAGCAGACAATGGAATGTAAAAGAAACAAAAGAACCGGTAGGACCGTTTAAGACCGTCGGACGTACATTAGTCCTATTAGGATTGGGCCAAAAGGAACAAACTTACGGGTCATTTATTGGATAAGCGTTTACTGGATGTTACTTATTCAATTTGTAAAAACCGTGAAAACCTCATTCAACCAATCATAATTTTTCATTTTGTTCATTTTTTTTTGTAATTATGAGAGGTTGATTAACCATTTTTATTGTGGAGGGTGTTAATCATGGATATTATCATCTCCATTATTTTAATTTTAGAGAAATAAATGAAACAGTTTCATTAAAATTTTATTAAATATTATATGAAACAATTTCATAACTATATATGAAACAAATTCATCAAAAAAAGTATTATATGAAACAATTTCACAAGATTAAACAATGAAATCGACGTATGAAGGTGGTTTGTACGGTTTTTACAAATGAAGGTGATTTTCATTTGATCGCTCCTCTATATATATAGAGAGATAGAGGGGTTGGTTATTATACAAACCATGATATTTGTGCAACCAATACAACCCAATCTCAACCGTCCATTTCATTTGATTAATATGTGATTTCATAGATGTTTTGATTGTTTTCTAATATAAAGTATT